GTCTATCATACCTTATATATACTTATATAAATTATAGTCTAAAATTTTGACCAATCACAGAGATCTTCACCTATGCTACTACTACTAGAGTAGTAGTAGGGTTCGACTTTACGTTTGTATGCTCCCCAACGTTTGAATGAACCTTGACGTTTGTAATAGTAAGGTTCGGCATCACGTTTGTAAACATCGGCACGTTTTTAGAAAAGTATCATATTTATTTAGATTCTATTACACCGAGTTTGGTCACAATGAACTATACTTTCCAGGGTTTAAAACTGTTATAAACTTTAGTAGAACATCAGGAATGTTCAAGTTTAATGATAAATCCGGGATAATACTATAGGTATCGACTTTCCAAAGATCAACTAAATCCGTATTTTTCGTGCATGCTCGTTATTTCGCGAAAGTACGGTAGTAGAGTTTACGTATGATGATAGACTACAATTACTAAACTAACCATGTTATAAAAAACTTAATATATTATTTGAAATTCTTAAAATTTTAAGAACCCATAAAAATCAAAAAATTTTATTGTAGTTATTAAAAAAAATTATTTTACGAAATTATTATTTTGTGTCCAAATTAAAATGTCAATCTGGCTAAACTACGTACGTACAAATATAAACAATTAAATTTAGGCAAAATTTGATAATACGTAGTAAAAAAAAAAAAAAAAAAAAACAATATTAACGGTTTTGGGATTTTTATTGATAAACCTAAAAATTTCGTCAAATTGCCATTAGAGGAGTGCTAATTTACTAAATAGTACTATCGTTATGCATGCTAACCAACAGTCCTGCATTTGTCATCAAGGGGAATATTTATTTTAATATAAAAAATTTTCCTTCAGCATTACACAGAACTTATAGTAAATTCCGAGTATCGTTCTTAATTAATATTATATTAAAAAGTACTCATTAAAATAAAAAATATATTAATCTGTATATGTTTTTATATAAAAATACGCTAATACTAAAATATCGATAACTATAAATTTGATACATCAATCAAGAAAGATATTTAGAACAATAGGCAGTGGCACAGTAAATGACTGCTAGAAAATCCGATAACAGAGAGGGAACAATTTTTAAAACATGTTATTACTATTATTACTCGTTTAGAGTGGCGGTGGCAGAATCTGCACAGAATTCTACTCTTTGTCCGCTCACAGAATTGGAAATATAACCTATTGTGTTTAAAGAAGTCAAATTTTCGGGGGGCTTTTTTTTTTACTGATTTTGTTTTTAAAGTATTATTTATACTTCACCGCGAGTCTGCAAATTTAACAGTAATCACGGCGATTGGGGCAGCAAAACCTGAACAATCGTAATAATCTTAATTCGTGCTGATGATAAAATTCTGCAAATGTACCATTTTTCTGCACCATATCGTAATCGTTCACATTATTTAATTCTAGGTATAAAAAATTCTACGCACCAAATAAATAATGTTGTTCAAAGATCGATCATATTGTTATGATGTATTGTTTTTCAACTATTAGATATTAAATTTATGTATATAAAATTATTGATTTTTGCACATGCTTATTTGTTTTACAGGTAGATCATATCTGATATGTTGTATAAATAGTAAAAACGATGTCCGAATTTTAACATTTCTTAATTGCTATCCCTCTTCCCAAAAAAATAGTTTTTTTTGAATTACTAAGATGCACCATGCTCCCTCAAAAATAATCGCTCGATGGGCATTTAACATTCAGGAATGGAATCCTTCTAACGAGGTTAGCCATTTTTCGAAATGATTTCTTTTGAGTATAATTTTTATCAAAAATTTTTTCGTCTTCTTGTAATAAACATTAACTTTTATCCTTTAAAAAAAAAAGCAATACAAAAAAGCTCTTTTATGCATTCAACCAGAAGAACGCAAACGAATTGAAGGATTTAAATTTTTCTCTGACTCAAAATTAGCTCTAATTGGAAGATTATTGATGAGATTTTTATTTTATAAATTATATAAAACTCCTTGGAACGAAATCAAATTTGGAAGGACTAAAGAAAATAAACCTATATTGGTAGGTTTTTCAAAACATTAGGGTGTTTCAAAATTAACTTATTTCAAAAATAAGTGGGAATTTGAAATAAATACATCACTTATTTTATCCGAAATCAGACTCTGAATCCCTAATTTTGAAACCCCCATTAATTTTTAAGAATTCACAAATTTAATTTGATTTAATTTAATTCATCATTATAATAATAAAAAAGATAAAACCTGAAAGCAATGATCCAATAATAAATTTTAATATATCACATCACGGAGACTGGGTAGTTTTAGTGGCAGCTGAGAATTGTAAGATTGGCATTGATGTAATGAAAGTTGAATATCCAAAAAGGCAGACTGTTGAAGAATTTTTTGAAACTCTTAAAGATCAGGTAAACTCATTAGATTAATTATATTTTTCACCTATTGAAATTTATTTCTTATTTTAAATGACTATCTAGTTTTCAGAATATGAATGGAGCGTAATAACTACTCCACTACTAAAAGAAATAGATCAATTACATCAATTTTATAGGTATTGGTGTTTAAAAGAAAGTTATGTAAAAGCTGTAGGAATTGGTTTGGCTTTAGATTTGAGAACTATTGAATTTCATTTACCCGAAGAGGATGAAAGAGGAAAGTTGTATGAAAATGTAGAGGTATGTATAGATTTATTTATTTATAAATATTGAAAATTTTTTTGTAAATATTGCAACTTATATAAATTATATTTTTATTATAGACTTTAAGGACAAAAACCAAATTATATATTAATAATAAACTCGAACGCCAATGGAAATTTGAAGAGCTTTATCTTGATGAATTTCATTGTGTTGGTGTTAGTTTTAGGATTTTAAGTGATGTGGATATAATTGAAGAAAGAGGATTTGAAAAAATT